CGGGCCTTCCGCCGGCGCGAGCGTACGACCACCGCATCCACTTGCTACCGGGCACCGCGCCGGTGGCGGTGCGCCCTTACCGCTATCCCCAGCTACAGAAGGACGAGCTGGAGCGGCAGTGCGCGGCCATGCTCACCCAAGGGATCATCAGGCCGACCACTTCACCTTTCTCGGCGCCCGTCTTGCTGGTGCGCAAGGCGGACCAGTCGTGGCGCTTCTGCATTGACTACCGCGCCCTCAACGCCAAGACGTCCAAGGACAAGTTCCCGATTCCGGTGGTCGATGAGCTCCTCGATGAGCTCCATGGAGCTCGCTTTTTCACAAAGCTGGACCTACGCTTGGGGTATCATCAGGTGCGGATGCATCCCGACGACATCGCCAAGACGGCGTTCCGCACTCACCACGGCCACTTCGAGTTTCTGGTGATGCCTTTCGGGCTTTCTAATGCCCCGGCCACCTTCCAGGCCCTGATGAACGATGTGCTTCGCGCCTACCTCCGACGGTTTGTGCTCGTTTTCTTCGATGATATCCTCATCTACAGCTCGTCGTGGTTTGAGCATCTGCAGCACATCAACATCGTTCTCAGCGCCCTACGGGCGCACCATCTATACTTGAAGCGCTCCAAGTGCTCGTTTGGGGCGCCATCCGTGACCTATCTTGGCCATGTCATCGCCGAGGGCGGTGTCGCCATGGACGCCGACAAGGTCGATGCGGTGGCGGCGTGGCCTCTACCTCGCTCGGCTCGGGGCCTTCGCGGCTTCCTGTGCTTGGCGGGATACTACAGGAAGTTCATCCGCGACTTCGGTATCATCACGGCCCCGCTCACGCGTCTCTTGCGGCGAGACGCGTTCATGTGGGACGACGACGGCTTTTGAGGCGCTCAAGCGCGCCTTGACGACGGGGCCTGTGCTTCAGATGCCGGATTTCGACGCTACTTTCGTGGTCGACTGCGATGCATCGGGTGCGGGGTTCGACGCCGTCCTCGACCAGGGCGCGGGACCCCTCGCCTACTTCAGCACGCCATTTGTAGCTCGCCACCTCAAGCTCGCCGCCTACGAACGCGAGCTCATCGGCTTGGTGCAAGCTGTGCGCCACTGGCGCCCGTATTTGTGGGGGCGCCCCTTCCTGGTTCGCACTGACCACTACAGTCTCAAATTTTTGCTTGATCAGCGTTTGTCTACCGTCCCACAGCACCAATGGATCAGCAAACTTTTCGGCTTTGACTTCACCGTGGAGTATTGCCCGGGCCGCCTCAACACCGTGGCGGACGCTCTGTCACGCCGCGACAGTGAGGCGGTGGCGCCTGTACCGTCGCCGGACGCACTCGGGGCAGTGGTGGCTGTGTCCGGGCCTTCGTTTGACCTCCTCGACGCCATCGGGCGCGCTACAGCCACGGCGCCGGATGGCCAGCGGCTGCTGCAGCAGCTCCAGGCCGGGGAGCTCGCGGAGCCGTGGCGCCTGGACAGCGGCCTCCTCCTCCACGGGTCTCGTATCTTCGTGCCGGATCACGGGGACCTCCGCCACCAGGTCCTCCTGCTGGCTCATGCCGCCGGCCATGGGGGACCCAGAAGACGCTGCACCGCCTCCATGCCGAGTTCTACATTTCGCGGGACAGGGCACTGGTGCGAGACTTGGTGCGTTCCTGCACCACGTGCCAGCGCAACAAGACGGAGGCGTTGCAGCCAGCGGGACTGCTGCAGCCCCTCGACGTGCCCTCCCAAGTTTGGGCGGACATCTCGATCGACTTCATCGAGGGGCTGCCCAAAGTCACCGGCAAGTCGGTTATCCTCACCGTCGTCGATCGTTTCTCTAAGTACGCGCACTTCATCGCGCTCGGGCACCCCTACACAGCCGCGTCGGTCGCCCGTGCTTTCTTCAACGGCATTGTACGGCTCCACGGGTTTCCGCTCTCCATCGTCAGTGACCGGGACCCCGTGTTCACCGGCCACGTGTGGCGGGACCTTTTCCAGATGGCGGGCGTCAAGCTCCGCATTAGCACCGCCTTCCACCCTCGACGACGGACGGCCACGGAGGTGGTCAACAAGGTGATTGCCATGTATTTGCGCTGTGTTACAGGTGACCGGCCTCGGGCGTGGGTGGACTGGCTGTCGTGGGCGGAGTATTGCTACAATACTTCTTTCCATACCACCCTCCGCACCACGCCTTTCGAGGTCGTCTACGGTCGACCACTGCCGCCCATATTGCCGTACCAGCCGGGAACGGCTCGTACCGAGGCCGCCGACGCCATACTCCGCAGCCGCGACGAGATGCTCGCTGAGGTCCGTCAGCGGCTCCTTCAAGCCCAGCAGCTCTCCAAACGCTACTACGACGCCAACCACAGGGATGTGGAGTTCGAGGTGGGCTCGTGGGTCTGGCTGCGTCTCCTTCACCGCACCACGCAGCAGTCCCTCGACCCTCGCTCCAAGCGCAAGTTGGGGCCACGCTGGGCGGGGCCGTTTCGCGTGCTTGAGCGCATCGGTCGCGTCGCCTACCGCCTCCAGCTGCCCGATGACGCCCGCATCCACGATGTTTTCCATGTGGGCCTCCTGAAGCAGCACCGCGGCGATCCCCCCACTGCCGCCGGTGTCTTGCCACCGGCTTTGGATGGCTGGGTCCTGCTAGGCCCGGAACGCGCCCTGCGCGCTCACCAGCGCCGGGGTGTTTGGAAGATTTTGATCAAGTGGCACGGTCTGTCAGCAGATGATGCAACGTGGGAGTCACTCGAGGAGTTCTGCGCCGAGCACCCCGATTTCTAGCTCGAGGACGAGCTGTTTTTGCAGGCAGGGAGATATGTTATGACCGGCATCCCCTACAGCCGTCGCAGCCCAGCTAAGGGCTAGGAGGAAAGCCGGCCATCAAAGGGCTATGGCCCATATAATTGTCGCAATTATAGTATTGCTAGAGGGTTATTTTATAATTATCGCTATTAGAGAGACATATAAATATTTGTAAGACTCTATTTGTGAGATTAAGCAGAAACAATCTATTGTTTCCGGCTTCCCCTGGGAGCCGGGAGTTTCTAACCCTAGCCGCCTCTACTGCTCACGTGTGAACAGTGCCGTTGTTACTGTAGCTACACGAGGGTTAGGGCTACAGCCGCAGCCGCCCATCCCCCACCACGGCGTCCAGCCGCCGGCAGCGAGGTTTCCAGCCTGCTCCACCTCCCTCTCACCCCTACAGACTCCGTGATCTACGCGGTAGGATCCGTAATCCTATCACCTGGTCTACTTTATTAGCTTCTAGATCTGGTGGTTTCATATGTGACCATATGTGTTCATTACAACTGCCTGCTAAGTCTCAATTAGATATTGTCAGATTGTTAATTGTTTAGTGTAATGCTAGATAAATTAATCTCAGGATCTTCAATGTACTGCTACTGATTCTCAGATTGATAATTGTGCATCATTTCTATGGGGGTTATTAGTACTGATTCTCAGATTGATAATTGTGCATCATTTCTATGGGGGTTATTAGTTCAATGGGGGGATATATTATTAAATTGAGTACCAATGCCTTAGCCTAACATGAATTTCTAGAAATTGGATAACATTATTTTCTGTAATCATGCCCACTTTAATCTATTAATATTTAATAATCTTGCCATTATTTATTTTCAAAATTTCAGTTACCTTGACTGCAAGGAGGAGGAGCATTGGTACCCTGGGTTGATGGTGGTCCTGCGATGTGGATGACACGAACAAGCCAAGGGTCTCCATCTGGTGCCACCACATAATCAGTTTCCATGACATGGTGATGAGGTCTCAAGGAACACGTCTACCATCCAGTTTCAAGGATGCCACTAATATGGATGTTTAATTATTGAGGTTTTTCTCATACAATCAGTCTTATGAAATTAGTCCTTCAGGCAATAGGTTTTGCTATCGCTGCAGCAATGCAGCCATCACTTGGTGTTGTCCCCGTAGTTATTGTGTTGTTGGTCCATAATTTGGTGCTTATATGAGGACAAGTGAACTTCTGTTGTAGAGTATTTTTTATTATCTAGCTTATTTAAAGGATTGGACTTCTGAACCTCCCCATCTATTTGGAAACTGTACCAAATTTGATGCATTTTGGAGTTGTTTTGTCTTTTCATCTTATTGGTTATTTATTAAGAATCAACACATCGTTATGCATATGGGTTATCGGCGATTCTGAGTAGTACTAGAGAATCAAATGGATGCCATCGTTATTTCATATAGGTTGCCCCTATAATGTTTGAATCGGCGATTCTGAGTAAATATACTAGAGGAGACTAATTTGCAGGGAATTAAATGGATGATTTGCATCTGGCAACAGGCTTTCAGTAGTAGATCTCTTGTTTTCTGTGTAATTAGTGCATTGTCAACAGAAAAATCTCTTGTTTTGCTTGCATTGTCAACAGAAAAAATCCCCCACCATGATTCCAGGCATCAAATTTTATAATTAACCCGTAGCCATGCACGGAGCTCGAGCGTACTACACGGAACGCGGACGTAACGGTTCGCATCGCTGCGTCGCGGGCTCTACGTGGGCCTCAGCCTGGGCCATCACGCGCCTGTGGGCTGGCATCGCATGCGTCAGGTTGTCGGCGCGTTGCTCCGGTCCAATCGGAAGATTGGCGCCCGCCCGCCGTCCGTTTCCAACAAAACCTAGCGCGCTGACGGCTTTTTCTGTGGGCCCGGCTGGCCGCTCTTGGCCGCTCAACAAAAAATAAAAATAAAAAAATCCGACACTCTCGTTAGGGTTACCGCTCCCTCCTCGCACTCCGTCCGTCCGCCGCCGCCGCCGCCGCCGCCGCTCCACTCTCCTCCCTCGCTCTCCCGCAGCCGAGGTCCAAGAAGGTCAATCCGCCGGTCAACTTCCCCAGGGCTCGTTCTCTCCCTTCTCCTTCCTCTGTTTCCCTGATAAATCTCCATTGGCGGCCGCAGCGTCCCCTTTTCATTCTTCGATCCCAAACCCTAGACTAGAGGGAGTTGCAGGAAATTCCCCATCCAAGCCAAACCCCGTGGAAGAGGAGCGCCATGGCGGCGAAGGGGAACACGGTGAACTGGAAGGAGCACCTGGGTAAGAGTAAATACTCCTCGGGGTGTTCGCTGCAGCTTAGCGCGGCTGCAGCTACTCCTATTGTTGCTACAGTACCGAGCAAAAAGGAAACAGCAGCCTTAGCGGCTGCTGGCTGTACCGAACACCCAACAACAATGATAGCTCGGCAATCGACGACGAGGAGGAGAATGGAGGTTCTACGAGCCGCCAATGATGGCTCTGCAATCGACGACATCACCCACATCCTCAACAAGCTGCCTATCGGGGTCGGTAGCGCCGGATCCTGCAATGAGGAGGCGCCGGGTGAGCGCCGTTCTGACGAACAAACGGCTGAAGACAGTGGATTTAAATGTTCAGATTCCCGTGATGAGAAGATGACAGATGTGGGCTCCCAATGTTCAGATGAGAAAATGAGAGAAGATGGTGGCTCGGATCTATTTGGTTCGGAAGACATAGGAGATGCTGATTCAGACATTATCTACTTGGAAGGATTCCCTAGTTTGGATGAGATGGAAGATGATATCTGTGATCAGATGGAAGATGCTATGTGTGAACCAGATTATTCCGATGAAGACACAGAAGAAGATGAAGGATCTGAACAGCACCATGGCTTTGATGAGAACACGGGGGAAGATGATGCATGTGAACAGCCCCAGTGGATGGAAGTAGATGATGGAAGCGCAGCCTTCAAGGAAATAGATGAAGCCTTCCTGTGCCCTGGTAAAACTTAGTTTCTGCTCAGTTGTTTGGAGTCGAATCAATCTATCATAGGCTAACAGCTTGTTCTCTCCTTGTTCGTATCCCCCACTCTACTCTCATCTCCCTTTTCCTTTCGAGTTGATTATCCTTCTTGTTTACACTTTCTTCCTTCTTCCTGTCTCCAGAGGACCGTGAGTGCATTCTCAAGCTGGGACTAGGAACACATGCGCAATACAAGAAACCCAGCATCGTGTCTTGGTATGACTTCCCGGAGCTGCCTCACAACAGAAGCTACTACAGATTCAGAAACATCATGCCTATAGAGGTTGTGCATGCATCGAATGAGAATTCTGCAGAGTATAACACTCATGAAGAGAAATCTGGGGGAAGCGACATCAGTACCTTGTCTGGTCTCCTTGATGACGCGGTTGAGGTGCAGGTATTCCAGCTGTTAAGTACTTCCTCTACACAGACTTTTTTTTTATATAAATTAACACAGTACAGGAAGCTTTATACTATGATAGATTTATCAAACCTCATTATTCCTTTCGATGGAAGTTTTTTACCAGACAAATCTGTACGTACCATTTTTTAAAGCTGTCAATCTAAATATTGAAAATTAACTTGAATTCATACCATGATATTATGGTTGATCGATGTGATCTGTTCTGAGATCTTATAGTGCAGTGAGAATATATTTTTTCTGATGGTGTGCTAAGTTCCTTGAATCATAACATCATGCATCCTCAATCAAATTATGCATCATATAGTCCTTGGATGAGTTATACATGACGCAGCTTGTGCATGACAATTCTTGAATGTTGTTATTTGCTGCGTGCATGATGTGAATTTGCAAGGTTTCCAGCATAACTTAAAACAATATGGGAACTAACCGTCCGAAAAATGTGTTCAAAACCAAAAACCTAAAAGTCTGAAACTAATAAACAATTGACAAACATGAGTGGAGCTATCTAAGAGCATATCTGGCTAATGGGTAGGCATCCTTGCGTGTATATGTATGGGAATCTTGATGTTACTGTTATGTAACTCTATTTATCTCCATCGTTCATAATATCTTATCGAAGCATTCTCAAACGTTTGCATTTCTTCCCTTTTAGTTTGAACGTGGAATCGTGAGACACTGGGCATGTATAGATTTTTCATCTTTGAGCTATAGAAAGTCACTCAAGCTTATTGGTGCGGTTGTAGATATGTGTGTGACCATTGGAATGGTAAGTCCTGTGTACTTTTTTTTTAATATGGATTTCTAATTATTTAGGGCACGTCTGACTTTGACTATCTACATGATAGAAATTTTTTCCGTTCCCACAAATGTTGGCTCGGGTAAAACCTGCTACTTTGGATGATATCGGAAAGACTCTGTTGGATATGAGCAAGAAGATCTTCGATTTCATTACCGAACTTAAGGAAGAAGAATCAGCAGTATTTCTACTTGTGATTTTGCCAGATGATCGACAATATGATGGTATGGAAGTTATACTTTTGTCAGATTTACCAATTACCATTGGTTTTATTTTCTGACAGTCATGTAATGTTTTGCAGAGAGAATCAAAGAGCTGTGTGATGCGATCCTTAATGTCACATATGAGCTTTGTTACCCATATTATTATAAAATAATTAAGTGGCCGCTGAAGAAAACTGCATGCCAAATAAGATCTAAGGTTCTCCCTCTTGGATAGTTTTTTTTTTCTTTGTGTGTGTGTGTGTGTTACAGAGTTATCATGGTTTGTGTTTATTAATCAGGTTGTAAAGCGTGATGTACGCCGTCGGCGATTGGCCTTACCCCTTGTGTCAGAGGCCCCAATGATTATTTTTGGTGCTGACTTGCTCCATTGTATGCCAGGAGAGGGCTCAGAGTCTATTGCAACTGTATGTCTCTCCTTAAGCTAACATGACCTAGATTCATTTTTTGCTGCTACGCATTCCAGTGGTCAATTATATTTTTTGGAGTTATGTAGGTTGCGGCCTCACTGGATTGGCCAAAATTCAGAAAGTATTTTGTTATGGAATCATACCAACCATATGGTGAAGGGATCATAAAAGACCTGCATAATAGCAATGGTGGCATTATGATGTAATTATGTGTTGTATATGATCTTTCGCTACCCACTGTCACTTTGTTCCTTTTGGATAACTAACATCCTTACTTTTGCAGCGATTTTTTTAATTCCTTCTACAAGAGAATAAAGCAAAACCCTCAGAAGATAATCTTCTTCAGGTAGAACTTCTTGTATTCCTTCCTTCCAACTTTGGTCCAGTTGAATCATATATATATATATATATATATATATGCTCACATTGCAGTACCTTGTACAGGAATGGATTAGAGCGGGGTCAATTCGGCCCCATTTGCCAGCAAGAAATAGATGATATAAAACGGGTAGGAATACAGTGTTATTTGCTTTCCTCTATCTGTTTGGATCTCACTGTCTCATTTTGATGGTTTTGTGCTTCTTCCTTGAAAGGCTTGTGCCTTTTTCAACGACAGATATCAACCACAACTCACATATGTGGTTGTGCTGCCTACTCCTATTGAGATGATTGGGATGACCGACAAAAGCAAGGACATTCTTCCTGGTTCGCGTCGCTACTACGTCTCTGCGTCTCTTTTCTTACTGAGGATACATACACATGTACTTGCCTTTGGTGACGGGGTTTCTTTTATAGGAACTGAGGCTGACCCTACAAAGTTTAAGTTCTGGTGCTGCCATCGTGGTCAGGTAAAGTACATTTTAATTTGGTGAATCTGCAGCTCTAGCCTTAAATAAAAACATTATTGAGCTGCTGTATTGTTTGACTGTAGAAAAACTTCTCAGCCTCCTTGGTTTGTTATCATGTTGTTCACGACGACAACAATTTTCCAGCTCATGAACTTCAGTCTTTAACCTCAAAGCTTTGCACCTTGTAAGTTTCAACTCTACTTTTGAATTGCTTTGCTGTGGTGATTGTTAGTAGGCACCTGACCAACATGTGTTGCCAAATACAGACGTCATCGTTGGGCCAGCCCAGAAATATGTCTTGGTAAGTACTTTTACACGCTTACCATTATTTATTCTTCTCTCACTGCATGTGTGTACAGTATTTTTCTTTAAAAGTTGAGTTTTCTTAATTTTGGAAAGAAAGAAATAGTGCCTCATTTTGTTGATGAGCACAGCAAGGGGCTACGGGTAGGAATGTCCTTATTTGTGACTTGCTATAACGCGAGTGTAATTTCCTCGTTGACAAATTTCTTTTTTATTTATTAAAAGATAGCTTTATGCAGCTTCTTTCATTCTTTTGAGTCATAAGTATGTTTGTTTATGCCTTGTATGGTATATCGCTTCTATTGCACTCACCTCTCATTCCATTGTGTCTAGTCCCACCGGCCTACTATGCCCAAAGTGCTGCATTCGATGCGATTCAAGAATGGAGAAAGACTTCCTGAAGTAACCCATCCAAGAGATAATAAATGATGAGGTGCTCTATGCATTAACAAGTACAATGTTGCCATTTAATCCTGTTGAACAGACGTGATATTTGTAAACCTGGTGGTCCTGTGGATATTTAGTACCAAATGTTCTAATGTTAGATGGATGCTGTAGACTGCATCGATTTTCATGTTCTAATTTTAGAAGGATGCTAGAACAACACTTGCAATGTTCTAATTTTAGATGGATCCTTGTAATGTCTTCCTGGTCATATGTACATCCTTATGCCGTATGGGATTCGCTCAAGGAGAACGCTTCTGCTACTGTGTGGCTACTGTTCACGAATCGGACGTCTTTGAGCATGATCAATTTAGAGGACGAATCTTCCTTCCCGTCCTTAGTTTAGGACAGTGGAAAGTATTTTTCCACGTGTCTCCTGCGTGTGTCGGCGTGCTTTTGCTCTCCCGGATTCATTCAACGCCGCCGCGTAGGGCCTCTAGCCAAAAAAGCAAAAAAAAACGCCTCCACGCTTCCCTCGGGCGCCGCGCCCAGCCGTCTCGCCATTGGCTTCCTTCCTCAGATCCACTTCACCTCCACCTGTTTCCCATCCGGGTGTCTAGCGGCCTACTCGGAAGAGGGAGGGAGGGGCTCAGCAGGCAGGGCTGATGGCGGCGGCGGCTCCTTGCGGGGGTTATTGGGGAGGAACAGCCGATACGCGCGCATGGACGACGTGCACCCGCAGGAGCAGGAGGACGGTGGTGGCGTCTATCGATGTTTTACCACCGATAGCCTGCCACGGGGTACCAGGGGCAGTTGTTCGAGCTTCGGCGTATGCAGAACTCGGCGGTTAACGCAAGAGACAGTCGATTTATATTGGTTCGGGCCCTCGACCGTGATCGAGTAATAGCCCTACGTCCAGTGCTTTTGCGTTGGATTGATTGGAATATTGCGCTACAATCGTTCTTCCCTTTTGGGTGCCCACGGTCTCTCTTTATAAATAGAGAGGGCCGTGGTGCAATTACAATCCTAGTCGGATCCACGGAAGGTGTCCGGAACTACATACAGAAGGTACTTTCCATAGGAATCCACCTAGTCTGGCCTATTCTACTCAGATTCGGTGTAGCAGTCGCTGCACCTCTTCTCGCTTCTGTCCGTGGGCCAGGCCAGGGCCCACGATCCGTAGTTGCTTTGCTAAGGAGCCCTGTGGGTCCCGCATCGACAAGCCCCCGAGCATTTCATGGTTGAACTCGGAAGCCTCCTTGTTTCTCTGGCTTTGCCTGGCGAATCAAGCCGGTCGGGTTCTTTCGACGTGAAGCCTTGAAGTGGTCCTGTCTTGAAGAAGTTCTTTGAGTGACGTGCGCTTTTTTTGAAAAAAGGCACTCACTGAGTGTAGCCCCCGAGCCTCTTGCTTTTTGGAACAAAGAGTTAGAGGGTCTTGACTTTTTACTGTTGGAAAAAACTGAAAATCTCTTCTGAGGATATGTACCCTGCAGCCCCCGAGCATATGTCCGGGTTCTTTTTGTTGAAGAAGAACTCGGATAGAGGGTCTTTTGTCATATTCTCAGGTAGCCTGCTAGTCCTAGTTCTTTTTGGAGATAGGTGATAGGTAGTGGTTAAGTGTAAATACTGCTCAGTCATGAGTTGTACAGTGTTGGTATATTCTTCCTGTTGTGTTGTCGTGGTTGTTTCTGATACTCCCGAGTACTTTCAGCGAAATCCGAGTTCTTTGTCTTCCTTATGCGGTAATCCTTTTTTGCTTCATGGTGGATGAGTTCTTTTTGGAGTAGTATAAGTACTTTGTCGTGGTACTGGATGGATAAGTCTGAGATCTGCCCGTTGAACTGTACCGTTGTGAAAAGGTGTGTCGTCCGTCATTTCGGTCGCGTCGGTTATGGCGAGAAATGGACCGTTGCGTTCCCATGCCGCGTTAATCGGGCCTGGTGGGCCGTATTTTACCGTTGTAAATCTTATTTAAAGGCTCTTCTCCTTCTTCTTTTTATGCTTCTTTGCCTTCTAGCTTTTAGCCTTTGCGAAACCCTAGCACTCCGAGCGCCGCCGTCGCCATTGTCACCGTCATCTGAACGCTGCCGCCCTTAGTGCTTTGTGCTTTTGCTGGTATATGGGCAAGAAGAAGTCGTCGAGCAAGTCTCAGGCGGTCTTTGAGGACGAGGAGGCGTCGATTTCCACAATTGACAATCAGGAGTTTGTGGCCATGAGGGCTGCGGCTAACAGCTGGCCTGCTCCGAGCACTAAGGAGGAGCAGTTGCAAGAGTTGGCCGACGAGGGCCTAATCTAGGAGAAAAGTCTTACCGAGTGGATGGGGCCTGGTGAGCATCGAGTTCCCTATCTTAATCCTGGGGAAATTGTTCTTTTCTTGTCTTTTGTTCGTGCTGGCCTATGTCTCCCTGCTTCTCATTTCCTTCATCGTTTCCTTCGTTACTTTGCTATTTCTCTGAACCATCTCACCCCGAATGGGGTTCTGCATCTTTCTGTCTTTGTTCATTTCTGTGAGACTTTCCTTGGAATCCTCCCTTCTATCACTCTCTTCCGGTATCTCTTTTGTCTGAAACCGCACCCTAGGTCCGACAATACTTCTGTCCTGGGCGGGTGCGGTATTCAATTTCACCAGAATAAGCAGAAGGAGTACTTTGATTACACCTTAGTTGATTATGTGAAAGACTGGAGGACCGAATGGTTTTACGTCGGGAATATGGATCCTCCCCTTATTGTGCATTCGGATGTTGGTCCGGTCCTTAATGACCGGTGGGAGAAGACGCCATTGACGAGCGAGGAGCTCCAGAAGATCAAGCCGTTCCTTGATAGGATCAAGACCTTGAAGCAACAAGGCTTGACCGATTTTGGAATCGTGGCTAGCTACCTCCGTCGCCGAGTTCAACCCTTGAAGGTGAGGGAAACTGTCAATGGGGAACCCTATGGCCCCCCCATAGACCGTACTATAGGGAAGTGGGCCTTGGTAACAAGGCCCATAGCCCAATCATCAAGAAGAACATGGAGCAAAGCAACGAGCAAGACTAAAACTCCAACTCGGACTATACAAGGAAAGGCGCCCGAAGCGTAGCTTAGGACTCTGACCTTGTATCCGAGTAGGACATAAACAACTCCTCTCAGCACCTGGACTATAAAGGGCTGGTGAGGATACCCCTTGTAAACAATAGAACGCATACCGAATACTCAAAGCAACATGGCGCAAACAGGCTAACGCCAAACTGGACGTAAGGTTATTACTCGACCGAGTCGAGGGCCTGAACCAGTATAAATCGTGAGTCTCTTTGCGTAACCGCCGAGTTCCACTATTTACCGAAGCCCGAACAACTGTCACGGGTACCCCCGTGGCAGGCTATCGGTGATAAAACATCGACAGCTGGCGCGCCAGGTAGGGGCTTTAGATGAATTTCTCTCGAGAGCTCAGCGGACCTCGACCTCAAGATGATTTTTTCGGCGGGAACAACCTTCGTCTTCAGATCGTGGATCTGCGAGGCTGACGGCGACGGCAAGCTACATACCCGTCTCCGAGAAGAAAAAGAATTCGATGACGAAGTAGAATATGAACTCGCCAAGATGACGAAACTCTCAACTTCGGATCCAACTCGGAATGAGGAAGAAAGCGGATACGAAACCGACTCTGAGAAAGAAATACAATCCGACTCCAAGGAAATCTTCATAGCACAAGAGCCAAGCCTAATTGGACTCGGAGACACAACAACGATCGTGAAGAAATACAACCCGTACAACTCAAAAAAGAACTCTGGAACGTACGGACTACACAACGCGGCGTCAATCTGTCAACACTTTACCCAAGACAAGATGAACTCAGCAAGAAAAATACTCCTAGAGGGAGCACAAGAAGGGATGATCATGACAATTACGCTACAAGACTGTGTGGTGCATTGGCCAGGTTCTTTCACCTTGAGCAAAGCCCAGACTAGCACGTATGTTGAAGAACTACCTTACTAGGAGGGAAAAGAACTCAGATCCAGCTCAGAAACTACCGACAGCTCGACCAAATGAAGGATGAAATACCATACAAGAAGAGCTCGGAAGAGGTACACTGTATACATGGCGGAACAACTAGAGCAACCTTTGGAACCACCCCAGATACCAGATATAAAATCTTTAGATGAATCTGAAAGCAACATCTCGCCAGATGAGAAAAGCGACAACAACAAAATGATGAGCAAAGACTAGCAAGACTAAAGAAGAATAAGTTGAAGGCTGGAAGGAGGAACAGGGCTAAACAAAGGAAGCAAATCTGGAATAAATACAAGGCAGAACTGACGGAATACAACAGAAAGAAGGCGGAAAGAGAAGCCGAAAAAAGTACAAAAAGGAAAAGAATTGAAGAGTTAACAAAAGAGTTACACACCCTCACGAATAACGGAAGGACAAAGGAAGACCAGGAGAAAGAAGTCGGGGGATCAGAAAAACAACTCGGCGAAGAACTTCCACGGGAGCCACAAGGGGAACAACCACCTAAAAAATCAATTTTTCAAAGGCTAGTGGAAAATACTGACAATAATGGAAGGCAAGAGCATTACCCTAGGCTACAAGAAAAGGGCAAGCCAGAACCGAGCCAGCGATACCCGGAAGCATCGAGAAGATTCGACAAAGAAGATGACTATGGAGAATCCGAGTTTAAAGAAGACAGATCATATTACAGGAGGGCA